TCGTTTTTCCAAGGATAATTCCATGTAAAAAATAAATGTTAGTAAATTTTTAATATTTTATTTTTAAATTTTATTTATTAATAGTCGGAAATTGAATTGCAAGATATACAATTTTTACGTCATTTTAAAGTTTGTAATTTTACAAGGCAAAACATTTGAGCGAAATCGGCTGAATAGTTGTTGAGAAATTAAATTATAAATATTCAACTTCTTTTGAATTATTTCGATTTGTCAAGAACTATTTTAACCAATTTCTTTTAAATTTTGCATTTTGCTTTGCAAAATTGCGTACTTTTGAAATAGCGTAAGAAATTATGAATCTAACTATTTAGAATCTTTTCAACTATCATTTAATAAAATAATAAAAAATAATAAATATTTGCGAAAAATGAAAATAATAAGAATATTTTTATTTTGGTTGTTAAAAACCCGAATCCGTTTTAAAAAAAAAAGGCGTGTTTATACGGAGAAAGTGCGCTTTTATGTCTGATTTCGAAACTTAAAATATTGTCTGCTCCAATTAGTATATTCGAGATCACCTTCTCTGACAATTATGTTTGGGTCCTATAACGTGAAGATCCGATCAGTATGTCAAAAGTTATTCAAAGTGGTCCATTTTTTCTTTCAACACACATAGCTGCCAACCCTACTGGATTTTTAGGGAAGACTACTGGATTTTGCGTGATTCTCCCGTATAAATTAAAATTTTATCGTTTTTTTTAACGTTTACTGAATTGTCCCTATACTCAGGGAAATATTTTTTTTGAAAAATCCCTATAACAGGAAAAGACTGAATCAGGCTGATTGGATCCAATATTATTGAATTGCTTTTGTTTGTAAAATTAACAACAATTCGCCAATATGGTAGGGTCATTCTTTTTTACTATTGAAGTGTAATTCAGAATTTGCCCACTAGAAAACAGAACAGATTTTCACGCAATCCAGCGTCTTCATTTTTCCTTACATTTTTATATTCTTTTTACTTCCTTACATTTGAAATGGCATAATATTTTTTTTTATAACCGTCATTGAACTGCAGAACTAATTTTTGGGTTTATGACTACTGATGTTCAACTACGTAGCCTTGCAATTTTGAAACCAATCCAGAAGACGAGGGAACTCCTGGATTAAGTATAGGGAGAAAGTTGCTTTCGTGAAAGACTTTTTGATGGAACTAACCCACATTTGCGTTACAAGGAGAGGAAGATCACGAGAGCCTTCCACGGTAAGCCTGACGGCAAAGGAACTCTAACCTATGATCCGTCTACCACTGAGGATTTTTTACGTCAGCACTGTTTACGGTGAAAGCCGGATGTGGAATTCATATCGACTAGCAATTGCCGGGATTCGAACCCGGTTCACCTGACTGAAAGGTGAACGCTCTAGCCCTGAGCCATCGCGTCTTAGGGCGTAATATTTAACAAGTTGCTATTTATTATATTTAAGAGGGAAATATTAGTCAGGTATAAAAGTATAGTGTAATACGAATTGTAACGTGAAATGTGCACATTTCTTGGTGTGTTGTACTATTTGGTGGTACTTCTGCAGAGCAGGTTACCGTAACAAAAGGGTTAATATTGCCTTCAAGTTTTGATCATATTAAAAACTTATGTGCCCACGATAGATGGAAATCATTAGCCCATTTTAACTTTACAACGTCGAAACAAGTTTGTAAAATTTTAACCAAAAATTCGTAAGTTTCAATTCTGCATTTATGCGTTATTCCATATTCAGGAAATCTTACCTTACCCTCTAAAAAAATAATGTTTAAAAACTTTTAGCCAGTTTTTTACTTACAAACCACAAATTCAAATTTGTCCTTCAAACATTAACTCATAAAAAAATTCGTAGTCCATTCTCCAAAAAAGGTTACGGCCAAAATAAGTATTAGCTATTTTTGTCATAAAGTAAAAAGTTGAAGCTTGCCTCCCAATACAAAATAAAATAAGGCTAAAAAGAGTTTTAGCTTATTTTTGGCTTAGAAAACACGTGATATAAATTAGTCTTTAAATCTAATAATTTGTTTTTTTGTTTTTGTTTCTTAATAGTTACTCAACCTGACAAAAATATGGCGGGAAAAAGATTAAGCTTATTTTCAAGCAAAGCAAATCAAAAGTTTGAATTTTCCTTTCAGACATTTTCCAGTTTTAGGTAAACGTTTTTAACGTTAAGTTTTAAACATTAGGTAACGCCCACAAAATATTTGCTTAATTTATCAGCCAAAAATTGAAAAATCCATTCAAAGCATATTAAAAAACTCTTCTGAGTCAACCTCCTCTTATCGCTCCCTCTTCTAGTTGTTTTTTTTTCCAGCTAGTGTTTTTTTTAAATAAGAAGGTCGTGAATTTATTATATAATTTTTACTTAATTTTGTGATTCGAAATGCTTATTATATCATTAAATTTCTTACTTTTTCCCTTTTCTTAGTTAAGACCTGTAGCGAATTCCGCATCCAGCTTGCACCAACCACAGTGCTGACGTGAAATATCCTCAGTGGTACACGGATCACGGGTTAGAGTCCTCTTGCGGTCAGGCTAAACGTGGGAGGTTCTCCTGGGGTTAGTTCCATCAATACGGGTTAGTTCCTTCCAAAAGTCCTAGAGGAAGGCAAATTTCTACCCATACTTGATCCTGGAGTTCCATTATCTTATTGATTGGATTCAAAATTAGATGGCTATGGAGTTGATTAGTCATAAACTCAAAATTTGGGTCACCTGTTCAACGACGGTTAGAAAATAAAATATAAAGAAATAAAATATTGTTATGTTAACGTTAACTTTCTTTATAATTAGAGTTCTTGTTGCGAAAGTTTTAATAATTGTACAGCAGAAAAAGCACAATTTCATTTAAATTTTGCATTTTCCAGATAGGATCATTTCCATTCAAGAAACAAGGGGTGGATGCTTTAAGATCAGTGAATAAGCTTATTAAAAACGAGTAAGTATATTAACAGCAGTGACTTTATTTATGGGCAAGTGAATGAGTTTATAAATTCATAATGTGTTACTACAGTCAACGACAATTTTTCGCTTATTAAAATAATTTTTAACAAAATTGCAATATATTTAATGCAAAAGTCCTTTATAATATTTAAATATATGTAGAGCGCCGAACAAATAAATAAACGGACCACCCAGAATAACTTTTGATAGGATCTTCACGTTCTAGAACAGGGGTTTCCAACTTACATGAAGCCGGGGGCTACAATTAAAAACACAAATCAAATGGTGGGCCGCAACTTTATCAAAATTTTATGTTGGACTCTTACATGTTTGAAGGAACATTAAATATTACTGTCGGATTTTTACGAAGTTGTTCAAAACAAAAGTATTGAATTACAAATAACACTAAGAAGTAGATTTTTAAAGATATTTAATTGCATATTAAGGAATTCGGGCTACAATAACTGTAATGTGCACCTATGTATTAACCAACTAATGTGCAACAGATATCTAATTGTTAAGATATAAAACTTGAGAAAGGTTAGTATTAAGACTTGCCTAGTAGCACACAAAATGTTCAATGAGAAAATTGAGGTTTGTCTGCTGCAACCACCAGAGAATAAATACATATTTACGTTTTAAATTTAAAATTTACAAATGTTTGTGCAAATATTTTCGTCAAAAATGAGTGGTTTCAAAAAGTTAAATCGGAGAATTTCTTCGAGAAAATTTCTGATACACACATGCTAAATTATATTCACAAAATACAAAAAAAAATGAAATAAAAAAGAGCAACATACACGATTATTTTTCTATTTGAATAAACATTTTCTTGGATGCAAAACCTGAGAAATAATTTTTTTGCACCGTTGGTATGTTAAATTTCACAAAAACGAAGAAATTTGTTTTCTATTAACGAGAAAAGTATTTTAAACCCAAATTGATTTTTTACGAAAATTGTCCGCATAAAAATGACAACTAATATATTTTAGTTCGCGGCCCCCAAAAAAAAGTTTCGCGGGCCGCCAGTTGGAAACCTCTGTTCTAGAACTTAATTTTAGAGTTTCAAAGGGATTGTTTAAAATATGCTAATTACGTTCATACGATATTTTAAGTTACGAAATCCGACACAAAAAAGTATTTTTTTCGAAATAAATAGATCTTTTTCAGATGAATCCGAATTTCTGATCCAAAAATTAAGGGAGTAGCTGCAATCTAGGAAACATGGTCCCCATAGTGTGGTCAGAGAGCGGTTCTAAGCTTAAATCCCTTTATTTTAATTATATTTCTTGTGCATTTCGCCATAACTTGAAAACTTTTTAAGCTAATTGAAACAAAATTTGCACGCAGCTAAAAAATTTGTTTATCTGAAGTTAATTTCAGTCAAAAAAGTATATTTCAATATATATTTATTGTTTTTTTATTATACTATTTAATTAGAGTCAAACAAATTTTGTCATGTACAATTTTCGCCATCATTTTAAAGAACATAATTTTACATGGCAAACTGTAAAATTTGACCGAAATTGGTCGAAGAGTATTTGAGAAATTGAATTTTAAATAAGTCGATTTTTTTTAAATCCGACATATTTTCCAGATTTTGGCTACCGTCTATAATTTGGAGGTCGAATAAAAAAGATATATTTAGAGTGACAGTTTTTGTGTTTTATTTCGTTACCTAAAATATAGTCTGATCTAATTAATTGGCATATCTGAGACCCCCTCCTCGAACCATTAAGATTCAGTTTTAGATCTTAAAAGATCCGATCATTAGATTAGGTACTCCTTTTAATTTTTTATTTTTTTGAGCTCTGTAAATAAATAATATTTTTGACTTAAACAAGGGTCTCAATATTAGGAAAAGGAAAAATCTTTCATGTGGGCTTACAAAAATCAAATACACCGAAGAGCCATTACATTATGACCACTCTTCATCTATAACAATGGGCTCGCCCAGGTTTTCATGGCTTCTAGCCCAGGAACAATGTTTTTATGGGGCACATTAGGACCCATAATCCTCATAGAACAATCCCTGACGTCTGTAAGCTATTTAAACATAGTTGCAGACCAGGTTCACCAATTTATGGCAACAGTTTTTTCTGCGGGGGATGGTGTTTACCAACAGGATAATGCACCATGTCATAAGGGTCGAATCGTCGAGGAACATTCCAGTGACTTTCAAGTCATGTCTTGGCCCCCAAATTCACCTGACTTTAATCCAATAGAGCATTTGGGGTCCTACTTGGAAAACCAAATTCGTGCTGCCACGCTACCCCCTCGTAATGTGAGGGAATTGCAGGACCAGTTGGTGAGCGCTTGGTACCAGATACCTCAGAATACCTATCAGCACCTTGTGGAATCAATGCCTCGGCGGGTGCTGTCAGTTTTGAGAGCTAAAGGTGGTCCTACATGTTATTAGCAGGGTGGTCATAATGTAATGGCTCTTCGGTGTATAACTGGTAGGCAGCTAAAGTCCATTTTTTTTTACCAATTCAGTAAATAATGAAATTTAATCACCAAGTCGAATAAATGCTAAGACTGATTTTAACTTTTTAACGTAAAAACTCATTTGCTTGGTTACACTTCTTTTAGTTCTTGAAAAGTGCCATTTAACAATGAATTTTGCTTGAAAATGTATTATTTGCTGTTCAAATCCGTTTATTTTTTTAACTAAAAGAAAGAAAAAAATCAGTTAATGTTAGTTTCGTTTTGGTGAAAAAAAACCTTACAATTGAAATTCATTGTTTTATCTTTGCATACAATAAAATAAAGAATTTATTTGTGCGTGTGTATGTATATCTGTATTTGTAATTGCGGGTAAGATTACGAAACCATATTTTGTGCTTTTTACGAAGCTCGATTTTTGATTTTTAAATTCAGAGACATTTAAGAAATGGAATTTTCTCATTGACTTTAGCGGAAGCCTTTGTTATAGTAAGCTATAGACGATTCAGTTTTGTCATATATTTTAAAGATAACACCAGTAGTGTTTGTTAGCTTATAGATCTAATCAAAAAAAACTTGTTTATCGCGCGTTCTGCAATACTTATTTTTCTATTCGTTATGCCAGGTTATCTGAAAGATGAACGTGATCTTGCTTGCATCAGCAGACTACGTCACCTGATTAATATTTTCATGGTTATCTGAAACTACGAGTTTATTTTATTTATAGTTATGCTCTTAAAACGGGTTTTAACAAAAATAAATAATTAAAAATCAATGGTAATTGAAATAAAAGGCTAAATTAAGGGAAAAATAGTACAAATTCGTTGAAGAGAAAGTATAATGCCGGTATTATTATGGACGTCAATGATAATTAATTTTGGTAATCGTTACAATTTGAAATAAAAAAAATAAGTCATAGGAAAAGTGGTACTAATTCGCTTATCAGTTAAATAATATTGATGTCAATGATGCTTAATTATTTTTGGAAATATGTACTAATTGTAATTAAAAAAAATCAGCTATGTACTAAAAATATAAATTGATGGAGAAAATGTATTCATTCGTTACGGGATACCGCAAAATGCCGCCATAATATTATTGACACCAGTACTGTAGAGTTTTATAAGATATAAGTCCGGAGATATGAGTACAGGAGAAAGTAACTTGACTTTGGTAAATTTTCACTATCATGAGTTACCATGCGAAACAGTATTATGCCAGATAATACTGAAGCCATTGTTTCAAATAACGATTTTCAAATATTTTAAAGACATCATGAGTTATGTTATGTCTTTAATCAAAAAAGAAGTTATTTGCGTGTTCTGTTATTATTAATTATATTTTATTAGTTTTGCAAGGTTAACTGATTGATTAACGTAATCGTCGTAGCATAAGCAAACTACATCGCACATTTAATATTTCTATGGTTATTTGAAACCATCGTGTTTATATTGCTTTTGAAACGTCTTTTTATAATACTCAATAATTTAAAATCGACGGTAATTGAAATGAAAAATATTAGTTTTGTACTGAAAAACAAAATGGAGATCTATTAGGGGTACTATAAAAGATCGTCTACAAGGACAATCTAGGATCGTCTACTAGATGGGCTGCTAAAAATGTGTTTACTTTAACCTAATATGTTAAAGTTGCCGAGAAAAGTATCAAATAATCTATATACATAAATTTAAAATTTGAGTGTCTGTTTGTGTGTCTCTATGCCGAATTTTGGGTACACTGTGAGTAGCTGTAAAAATACGAGATTAAAAATGTATCTAAATAAGTAAGATTATAAACTTAATTGCGAAGCCCGATTTTTGATTTTTTAAAATTGTATTTTAAATACAGAGGCATTTAGGAACAAAATTTTCTCATAGACTTAGTGGAAGCCAGTGTTTTAAAATAAGCTGTGGAGGATTTAGTTTCTTCAAATATTTTAAAGATAAATTATAGCTTATTGCTCTAATCATAAAAAAGTTGTTTATTGAGCTTCCAGTTATACTTACTTATATTTTATTTGTTATGACAGGTTATCTGTGTGATTAATATGAATAAGCAAACTGCACCACCAAATTATTATTTCTAAGTTTATCTGAAAACAAGCGTTTATTTTGTTTATAATTATGCTTTTAAATCGTGATTTTACAAAACTAAACAATTTAAAATTGACGCTAATTGAAATAAAATCTTAAGTTTTGCACTAAAAGACAAAATTATTGGAAACATGGAACTAATTCAATGAGGAATAAAGATAAAAAACACTAATATTATTATGGACGCCAAGGATAACTAATTTTGGCAAATTACTAATTAAAGTACAATAATAAGCTATGTACTAAAAGTCAAAATAAACAGAGAAATGTGACTCGTTTAAGCGAGCATAAAAAGTGATGCTGAATTAGTTTTTATAATAAATAATGACATAAAAATAAGTGACATAAAGATATGCTATGTACATAAAATATATTTATTTATTACGTGGCACCGTCGGCATGCTATTATTAACATCAATGATACTTAAGTTTGGCAATGGTCGCTATTATGGTAATAGGTGAAGTTTTGATAGATACCAAATATACTTTTAAATAGGTACAATATATTTTAGAGTACATTTGGTGCAGATTACAGCTGCAACAATACTGTAAATTTTTGTAATAGACTTATTATGTGAATAGATATGTCAGATGACGCTGAATAAAATTAACCTTTATTTTGATAGGATGGACTGCTAAAAATCAGCTTTGCTTAAGATAATAATGTAAAAGGAAGTAAGAGTCAACAAATAATAATAAATAAAAAAAAGCATTCTAATTATTTTAACTTTGTTGTTTATGTCGGTATTTGTGTGAAAATTTTTTGAACTATTTTGCAGTGTTGTTCATTACAGATTTATTGATGCATTTTTTTCACCCCATACTGGTAATTAATAAATAAAATAAGTGCGCAGTTTGATTTTGGGAAGGTTGATAATTTTATTTTTTATCAAGACGCCATTGACATTACTGGCGTATGTTTTTTTAATGTTAGCATATGATGTACTGCACATTTTAATAACAAATTCATCACAATACCATAAGATCATGCAAGAAATTAACAGAGGCAGAAATTAAATCCCCTCTCACTTGAACAATATCTGTTTTTTATGCTTACATAATGTTTTAATTTTTGATTTTGAATCTCGAAATATTTGAAATTCTACTTCTTTAAAAGACAAACCAGCTGGTCCCCGACTGGCATTTTATAAGGTTTAAAAACAAGTATTTTAAAACATCAAAATAAATCTCAGCCTCTATTTAAGAAGAGCACTTTTCATTATTGACGATTTGAGACAAATTTAACTTTTTTTTCACCTAGTGCAGACACGTTAATTGAACTTTTTCCATTAAAATAATTACGCTTTCTTTTTTTTTAGAACTTTAGGTCCTTATTTTCAATTTATGAAAGCATATAACTATACTTTTATTCACGTTTTAATTAGATTTCATAGTTTCCTTTACGGATTTCAGATTTCGACAAGCAAGTGATCTAACAATGATGAAAGAACTGCATGGAGCAAAACATATTGAGAATTGTTGCTACATAATGTCTAATATCGACATGTCCATAATGACAGTGAGTCAAAATTCTTTTTCAGTAATTTCTATTGAAAATAAAACCACAAAAATAGTTTATTTTGAAGAATCGGACACTGTTTGAGTTCACTTTAGAGCGAAAAAAATAAATTTTAATGTTTACGATTTGATATTTGTTAGTCATAAAAGATTATGCTTATTTAAAATATTGCCTATATTGAATATTGCCTATAATAAATATTGCCTATAATAAATATTGACTATAAGAAATATTGCCAATAATAAATATTGCCTATAATAAATATTGACTATAAGAAATATTACCAATAATAAATATTGACTATAATAAATATTCACTATAATAAATATTGACTATAATAAATATTGACTATAATAAATATTTACTATAATAAATATTACCTATAATAGATATTTATTTTAGAATACTTGAGGTGATATTCTCATGAATTAAACTAACGACTTTCTTTTTTAACAATGAATGAGGCTAATTGTTATTCATCTTGTTCATATGTTTAAATCAACATTTAGAGTTGATACAGATTTTATATTTTTCTGGTAAAAATATAATAATTTAAAATATAAAAAAGTTATTTTACACAGCGTTATGACAATGACAGCGAGACAAATCAAGAAAAAAAAAAGTTAATATTATTATTATTATTATTTTAATCCAGCTTCTTTTTTTCAAAATAAAGCTTAGGGCGCTGTTTCCAGTATCGCATGGTCCGCCGATAATGATTTTAATAATGTGCCCTGTGTTGGTTAAGATTTGTTACCCATTTTAGGTCCAACAAAAATTAAAATATTTTTCCAATTTAAAACATTTTAGAAAATAATTTGTTAAACTTTTTATTTTAGTTTGATGTCTGTAATTTTCTTTGTGAGTTTCTACTTTAAAATTAAATTTAGTTAAAGTAGTGATAATATTGCTGTTAATTTTACTGGCATTATTTTTAAAAAAAAAGTAATATAAAAAAAAAATAAACTCAATTCTTACTTAGGTCAATAAAAAAAAATTTTTTTTAGTTACTTTTTATTAAATAATTAAAAAAATTTCCTAACTAAATTTAATGAATTAAATTTAATGAATGAATTAATATTTGAATAAAACTGTATTAACATCAAGTGTCACACCCACTACAAGTATTAAAAAGAAAATGCATTTGAAGTTGAGTGGATGAGTATTTTATGAACGATTTGAACAAGATAATAGGGAGAGCGTGAACTAATAGTAGGAATTGAATAAAGAGCAAATTGGATTATTAACATCACGCACTAAGTTAAATTTTGAGCTCGATAGCTTGTTGAAAAGTAATCGAAATTTCGATGGGCATAAAAATCTCTTAGACGTTGAAATAACATTTTGATTATAGCTGAACGTTATAGAAAACGTTTGGTACTGTCTCACACAATACTCCAGTTAAAATTTAAGCACACTAGCTAGTCAAAAAGTGGCAAAGATATTACCTAATGATAAATAATAATAGTGTCAAATTCTGCTTGATCAGGAAAACTTTTTTACTTATTAAACTTGTGTAGTTCTCAGACATAGAGCTGTAGTTGAAGTAAGAGTACCCAGATTATTCGGAATGTCATTGACGTTTTAGATTAGAGAAAAATTTCATTTGGTGTTAAAAGTCTTGTAGCTATAATGATACCATTGAAACCTCCATTGACACCAGGCATAGTGCTGCAAAGAGAGATTTGAGTGCACTGGCAAGTGGAAAAGTGGTTAAAATTTCACCTTCACAGATACAAAAAGGTTTTAATAAAGCTATATTAAAAATAAAGGAAACGTTTATATAAAATTTGACAATTTTATTATAGAAATAGTTTTTTTTTGTTCAATAACAATTTGGCATTTTCATTTTAAAAAGTGATTCACTTTAATTTCAGAATTGATTACTTTAAATAAGAATTTTTAAATTAATGTGAATACGTCATAAAAATATCAATAGAATAATAAATGAAAAAGTTCTTTTTTACCAGTTCTCACAATCATTCTAATCTTGGGTTATTATGGTCATTAAAATATATTTCAAAATTGCAAAGAAAGCGTAAATCAAAAAATATAATTAAGATATCATAATGTTCCCAGTATGAAAATTTTAAAATAAAAAAATTAACTTATTAGTGAAACACTGAACTAAGTTACACCAATACTAACATAAAATATTCTCTTTATGCTGTGTCCTTCGGATAGAATCGCAAGATCTAAGAATTTCATCTTTAATTTTGAAGAAAAAAAATTCCTCCAATTTAGTTTGTAAAATTTTTTCTGTCCTTCAAATTTTCGTCTAAATTTTTCTTAAATAAGTCTTACTTTCTAATTTAAACATTCTAATTTTGATTTCGAAAGTTTTTCCCCTACACATAAGGATTCTATTGCCTTCTTTCCCATATCATCCTAATGATAAAACAAAAAGTTTATCATAACGATAAAGTGCAATTTTTTTTATTCTTAAAAAAATGTTTTGAATATTAACATCGTGAAGCCTCTTAGAGCTGTGGGCAGACGATCACTTGCCCCACCTTTGATGGCTCTGAATACGAAAATTTATTTTCTAGTTCAATGTTATATTTAAAATAGAAAAGAAATCCATCTTGGTTTCGATTCTTTTCCAAATTGATCTTATTTATTTTTTAATCTTTTCCAAATTGGTTTTTATTCTTTTATCTCTCATTTATATTTTAATATATTTAAATCGAAATTCAAAAAGTTGATCAAGGTTAAGGAGGAGAATTACATTGCACGAAAATGAGATTGCCGGAGCAGTGACAGGTGCTTACGTTAATTGTCGAAATTTGAATGCGATTAACACCGGCTTTCGAAGTTCTGTCGCCCAGGAAAATTAAAAAAATTCGCAGTTTAAGTGCCAGTCACTAGAAGCAAAAAGATTATTTTAATCTATAAATACCATTTCACGTGAATAATTATTTGGCTTTAAAATGGACCAATATCTTAAATATTTTAAAAGTTATTGACATTTTTTGAAAAAAAATAATCTTCAATTTTATTTTATATTTTATAACTGTCGTTGAATTTTTGGGATTTGCGACTACTAGTGCTCAACTACGTAGCCTCGTAATTTTGAACCCAATCCAGAAGACAAGGCAACTACTGGTTTAAGTATTAAGAGAAATTTTCCTTCGTGGCCACGAGATCCACGGTAAGCCAGAGGAAAAGGTGACTCTAACCCATGATCCGTCCACCATTGTGGATATTTTAAGTCAGCACTGTGGTCGTTGCAAGCTGGATGCGGAATTCGTATTGACCAAACATCGCTGGGATTCGAATCCGGTTCACATCATTGGAAGGCGAACGCTCTATCCCCTCAGCTCATCACGAGTCATGTTTTGCCTTTTTAGTCACTTTAGCTAGTTTTTCATTAGCACGACATTCTCTCATTTTAACTTTTACCAGCTGTAAACTAGCCGTTTATAGCTGGTACAGAAGTACTGTGTTTTTTAAAAAAACCAAAACATTTGTTTCTGAATTCAATTTGACAGTGTATCAAAATAGTTAACCTTTTTTTGTTATGTTTGAATTACTGAAAAATATCTCATTTTATTTAAATATAAATCTTTTAGGACAATTGTATGCTATTTGAAATTTTAAGAAACATGTATTTCAAAATTAATACTTGTATAATTACAAGGGATTTTTTTAATAGGAAAAACAATCACAAACTTTAAAATTCTTATGTAGATATGGGTTCAGATATTCCCGAATTTTGTGCACGTTCAGAAAACCCTCTGTCTTCTACTCGATTTTCTACTAGTAAATGAGGATTTTAAAATAGTCTGCTCAAATCGATAAATGGAGAAATGTCGATTTTCAACCCAACATCTTTCTATTTTTAATTAATAATGAAAATTTGATACACAATTTAACTAGAATGGTGATGAATTTAAGTTCATGCACTTTTACAATATTTTCAGCCAATCATGTAGGTTGAATTTCGTAGTTTTACAACCATCGTATCATATGATTTTAAAATTGATTGGCTACTATCAATACAGTAATCATAAGCCACAATGACTCAGGAGAGTTCGCCTTACAATGAGGTGAACTGAATTCAAGTCCCAGCGAGGCCTGGTCGATACGAATTCCGCATCCAGCTTGCAACGACCACAGTGCTGACTTAAAATATCCTCAGTGATAGACGGATCATGGGTTAGAGTCCCCTTGTCGCTAGGCTAACCGTGGAAGGTCTTCATGGTTTTTCTCTCCTCGTAACTCCCATTTCACCAACACCATTGTCTGCCTGAAATTAGAGTTTATTGTAGGAAATCGTTATCCCACCAAGCAATTTTCGGTGAAAAGCGAATTTAGCCTAAACTGTAAAGTGGGCAAATATAAAATTGAATTTCGTCATAAAATTTAACGCATTGTAAGAAGCATTTAGATCACGACCGCCCTCCAAACATTTTCGTTAGCTCGTCGCTTAAACAAAAGTAATTTTGCCGTTAGCGTACTCATTGTAAATCGTTATCCTACCAAAAAAATATCATTAGCTTCCCCAAAGTCATCAAGCATAAGAGGAAATAAGTTTTGTTATTTTATTTAACCTAATAGCAAGTCCATTATGGAAAATCGTTAAGCAAACCATTACCCCCGAAAAATATTTTTAGTCCATTATAGTATTTACGAAGAAACGTTTTAGATAATTTTTGATCTACAAACTGAAAGTTTGAATATTTTGCCTTGAAATTTAAGCTATATAAGGGAAACCCACTTGCAAATGAAAGTGATTAATGGCCAATACAAGTTTTTAACTTAAAAAAAATCGCCAGGCTTGAATTTTGCTTTTAAACAAAAGCCATAGTAGGCAATCCATAACCCCACTAAAACGTTTTGTTTAACTTCTCTTACAATATGGCCTTGACAAAATATTGCGATTCTTTTTCCCAGAAACCGCAAGTTTAAAGTTTGCTTCCTAACAAATTTTATCTCAATTCCGATCAAAAAACATCAGTTAGAACTTTGTCTCCCATTTTAGCAAATCGTTAGCCCATTAAAAAATTTTGTCCTCCCGTTCACCCAAACTAAATCTAATTTATCTAAAGTTCATGCAATTTTTCTCAAACTGCAGTATTTAAATTTTACCGAGAGCGCCAGTTTTTTTGTCTAAAAAAGTAATAATAAAAAAAAAACCATTATCGCCCCCAAATCTGTGGTTAGCTGCCTCGCCAATAAAAAATAATAACCAAAAACAATACCCAAGCAACAATTTTACTTTGGCTTTCTGTCGTGCAATATGAAAAACAATGCAAGTGCTTCGTTACTGATTTCAATAAAAAGTGTCTTCGCAACTGTTTTCTCTCTATTGCTAATGCTATAAACGCCAAAATAGGTATTTCTAAAACTGATAAAACAAATTTCATTTTTGAAAAACATTTATTTCCGATATGTAGCTTATCATAGGAAGATGCCAAACATATCTCAACTTGAATTTTTTTTTGTCCCTTTTTCTGTTACATGGCAGAGGTGGCCAAAGAATGGTGGCCTAAGGCTCTTATAAGAACATGCACCAAGGGTTCATTGAGATGCCTAGATTTTTCAATATTGGTCTTAGAATGGCTTTCAATACTGGAACAAGATTCACTTCAATCTAGAACCCATATATATAGACACCCCACTATTCACCCAACATTATAAGTCTATAAGGATCCTACGTACAAGTCAATATTGGTCCATTACTGAAAACTATTCTAGTACTTAAATTAGAAAATCTGGACATCGCAATATTGTAAACAGACATCCAGATATTTACCAATATTGTAAGCTTATAAGGGTCCTACATAGAAAAAAATATTGTTCCATTATTGAAAGTTTTAGGACCAATATTAAATATAGGCACTCCAATATATCCTAAACCTACAAGGTTCCCATATAGAAATTAATATTGGTCCAATGTTAAAATCGTCCCAGAACCAATACTGTGAAATTTAGACACCTGATTATTGGTCCTATATTGTAAGCCTATAAGGGTTTTATATAGAAATAAATATTTGTCCAGAATATAAGGCATTCTAGGATCTATTATTACCATTTTTTATAGTTAATATAAAAATTTGTTAAAATTGCGCAGGCTTGAAAGAAAATTTTATTTTAGGATCATTTTTTTTTAGGTCATTCACAAAAACAATTTTACAAGGCAGATTGCGTGAATAATTAATTTTTGCTTACAGTTTTTTTAACTTTCAGACGTAACAAAATTTATTTTAGAAATATAACTAGTAGTAAAAAAAATTCAGATGTCACAAAATTTTTTTTAATTCTCGAGTGAGCTACAAAATGAGCACAAAATTATTTATAACTTAATCTTCAAAAACGAATTACATGAGACTTAAAGTAAAACAAAAGTGAAAATAAATTTTATTAAGCTTTAAAAATAAAATTTGCAAGGTTGTTTAATATCAATTGCATTGTGGGGAGAGTCATATCGACAAGTCATCTATGAAAAGGTACCCCAACATTGAAGCGAGTTAACATATCTTATATACTAGTAAATTAGAATTGTGTGTTTCATCTGTAACAGAATTCGGTGAACCACTACTTGATTCATTGCTGTTTTGTGAGAAGCCGGGAGAGCTGTATTAAGGTCACGGTGGTGGTGATCGCCCCTGTGTTGCCATTAAAGGTCGAGTGTATACTAGCCGACGTTGAGAATGATCAATACTGAGCAGCAACAGTGCGAGGAGATGGATAACGTCACAGTCACGAGTAGCAAGTCAACTGTACAATGTAGACCTTCCTTTCGAAGTAGGCTTGTTAAGAGCGAAGTGGAAGTTTCTATCACGTCCGGGTCACCAATGTAGCGAGAATTATATTGAAAATGTCAGCTTTCATCTATAAAAAGGTACCCCAGCATAAAATCGAGTTAACATGTATTACATACCAGTGAATTGGTATTGTAGTTATGTATTGGTTGACACACTACAGAATCACAAACGTTGGTGACAGCTAAAAGACATTTCCTTTACTTCCAAGACTACAAAGAACATTATTAATCTTGATTGAAAATAAGATTCTGGACTGATGATATAGAAATAACTGAACTCAGTGGCGCGACAGCCCATAGAGGGCCAAGGCCTACTGTGCCCATCTCAGTTTTCTTGACCTTGGGCTCTGGAGTGCAGGAGTAGATGTCCCGGTTAGGGGGTCAGCTGAACGCGAGACTCTCAGTGTTTAGTTCCCAAACATGCTTGGTACTCATTTATCGATCCTACTGAAGGGATGAAAGGCTGAGTCAACCTTGCCCGGCCCAAGGATCGAACCAAGGACCTGTGGCACGGGAGCGCTACCACTCAGCCACCGGGCGTCATGAGAGTCCCCAAATATTCGATGGGTAGGTTTGTCATTCAGATATAAAAATTAACTAAATTCCAATTTCCACTTGAGTAAGTTTGAAAGTTTAGTTTGGAGAAGTTCGAAATTTGAAAGCGAAACAATTGCCTTAAAACCTCCAACTATAAGACTTGTTTCAGATTTAAAGAATTTTTTTAATATTCATGACTATAGTTCTATTTTCGACTCAATCTCTTCATATTAATAAAATCGATTTATCAATTATTCTGTTAATTGATTAATAAAATTGAATATTAGTTTATGATATTAATTAATAACTTAATTTATCAATTATTTATATAATTTACTAATAAGTATATATCATGTTTCCTTAGTAAATAAGAGAAGTAGGTATTCTATAAATAATCTCTATAAAAATTAACATTCTGGCTGGGTTTTTTTCCTGAAGAAACTGGCTGAAAATGAATATTAAAACAAAAAAAAAAATGAAATACGTTTGGCAAAATTGCTATATAAAAAATCGCATCTATTGGACCAAGATCCAAAAAAAGTGCATCATGATGAATGCGACATTAAATATACTAAATTACCAAAAAGAAACAAAAAAAATTTAATTATTTAAAAAAAAATCATTTGTAAAAATAAATAAATCGACACGATTGTACCATCTTTTCAAACTGTTTTGATATCAAGTTCGTAAAGTATTAACCTTTCATACAATAATAGCAAAAACAAATGCAACTAAAGGAATAAATTTTGCTGTAGAAACAATGAATTTGCATGAATAACATCCCATTCTGATTTCATTCAAATTTAGCATCTCAAATGGACTACTTAAAAAAAAAAAGAGAGAAAGTGAGAACTCTGCATAACTTTTGTTCTAATGATCGGATTTAGGAAAACTAATAAGTGTCGGTCTGAACAGCTCAAAAGGGTGAACTCAAGAGCTAACTAATTAATGCTAACAATTGACTAATTAATATATATTATTAAATTATGTTATAGTATCGGAGACAATACATTTCTTCTGAACTTTTTTCAAATTTTCAGTGAATTTTTTAACAACTTTCATTAAATTTTACTTAGATTTTTTTTTAAACTACTATCTTAAAATGCTAAAGAGTAAAAAAATGCAGACAATCTAACACAAAATTTTCTAAATTAAAATTTATTTTCACTAAGATTCAACTTTCTTGAAAATGAGATGATTATTTGAGTACAAAACATATAATTAATTTATAGGTATATGCATGTATAATAAAGTACATTAGTTAAAAGCTTGTAAAAGTATAATTTACTTACGACTAATAATCAGAAATAAATTGCTTGATTGATTTACTTATAATTTCCATCCAATCAGATCTATAGTATAATTAGGGTAGTTCTTAAAATTGAGCCTTTGGAGGGATTTGGGTATAAAAATAATTCACATTAGTAATAAAAATCTATAATAACAATATCTATAATGAAACTGCGCAGAATTGATGCAGTTTTAATAGGTACCAAATAGACTAATAAAATACACTGTACCATTAGTACTTTTGCTACCCATTAAAACTACACCAATTTAAACTACCATCATACCAGCAGTGCTTATTACCAAAGTTAATGAAACATTGACTTTATTAAAAGTACCCTCTTGTGATAAATTATTTCTGCTGTTTTCTGTTTTCCATAACAGTAGACGGTTTTAGACTTTGTCCTAAGGGGAGTTCTTTAAATAGACAAACTAAAAGTTACTGTCTCATTTTTCCCTGCTCTTATGATCTTTTGCACCGTGCACACTTACATTTTGAAAAATATAAGTATCATTAATTTTTTTAATGAATTTTTTATTGAATTTTATGGTTTGAAATGCCTATGACCATATTTATGCAATATTTTATTTGCAATTTTCGCAGAACAAGTTGCGGCCTTCTTTTCTGATAATGTGATACTCCATAATTAAGGTAAGAATTTCATTCTCATATTCCATAAATTTTAAGATCTAAACCTGTTTCCATCAAAAATTCAATTTTAACTTCTCAATTAAGATTCAAAAACACTTTTAATTTTTTTTTCTAGTTACAGTAATACTATTTATACTATATAAAACCCTTAATAACTTTGCTACCGGTTTTTTTTGCTAGCTTTCTTTTTTACGCTCAAAACAGCAGATTTCAGAACACAAGAGGAATATTTTCTTAAACTTTGATTTCAATAAACTTGAATTTTGATGTACACAATCTNATTAAACTATGACTTAATATTGAGAATTTACGGATAAATGCAGCTTTATTAAAGTTTGAATTGCTATAATTTTTTTGCAAATATTTGATCATATATTAAACAATCTTTTACTATGTTGTGAAAATGATTAATTCTTCAGATAACCCTTTTATTTTGCATCTTACAAAATAGAAAATATAATATTTCTCAAGTGGGGGGGGGTGATACGAGATTTGTCATAGGAACTGTTTCCCCTAGAAAACCAAAACTGTTTTGAAACAAAATTTAAATTTTTTGGCATTAGAGATTTGAACTATAAAAATTATTATTCGTTTAATTAAAATAAAATATCCATTACAAAATTCTAGAGTTTTATTATTTTGATATATTTTTTTTCTATTTTGGAATTTAACCATACTATAGGCCTTTCATCAACTCGGATGATTGCTGTTTCTTGACCTTGAAAGACAGCTGAAATTATTCAACTAAAAATATATGTATTAAAAGGAACAATTGTCCTTCCCATGTCCAAGCATTTCCCTTAAGATGATACTATTAAGATCTATTAGTAAATATAAATAATTTTTCTGAATAATGATTTTTTTAAATAACCTTTGAAAAATATATTTAAATAACAAATTTTTTTTAGTTCACAACTGTAATTTACTATTTTTGCTTACCAAACGAACGGATGCGTATATATTTAAATACAGTCAAACCCCGCTATAGTGAACCTTTAAGGGACCGAAATTTCGGTTCACTATAACCGAGAGTTCACTATATCCGTTACGCAGGCAATTTCACTAATGGTTCCCAAACTCCTCCCTTTTATTACATTATATTCATATAAATGACTGAAAAATATTATGTAGTAGCAAAAAATGTGTTATTTTTCATCACTCTTCGTCTTGCGTACAAATAAAAATTAGTAATCTTTAGTTGATGAACAATCCTCAACATCAGATATGGAAACACTTCCCGACTCTCAGATAATTTTTCCTGAATTTCTGTTATTCTGCTTTTTAAACCTGTCTAACCTGCCATTCGAGCACATAAAAGTAGTTTCTATAGACGGTTTTAAAAATCGGTATAAGTATTTATTTTGAAGTACAAATTTCAAAATTATTGCAAAGAAAATGGGGGGGGGATCAGTCGAAGACAGAAAAAAGTTCATTATATCCAACTTCCTCACTTTTTTGGTTCACTATATCCACTAAAAATAACATTAGACGTTTATAGCAAGGCACGGGACCGNAATTGTCCTTCCCATGTCCAAGCATTTCCCTTAAGATGATACTATTAAGATCTATTAGTAAATATAAATAATTTTTCTGAATAATGATTTTTTTAAATAACCTTTAAAAAATATATTTAAATAACAAATTTTTTTTAGTTCACAACCGTAATTTACTATTTTTGCTTACCAAACGAACGGATACATATATATTTAAATACAATTTTTGAATTAATCACTTTGTGCATGAATGTGAAATTTAAGGTCTAAATCATACAACGAGTCTCTCCAACCGTAATAGTATATTGATGAAATTTGCAGTAAAAAATAAAATAATTGTAAAGTGGTAAATTAGATCGGACACCGATTTAAGTAACTTTAACTTAAAATGTAACTCGCAATTATGTTGTTCTAATAATAATAACAATAATCTAAAACTCTTAATTTAGAAAACAAACAAAATCAAAAACGTAATAGTAAGAGTACGGGTAAATACGTTTAAATTAAGAATTTAAAGTTGAACGATATCTTTGTGACTTATATCAATTTTATGCTGATGACAGCCAAACCGATATGCAGGGGTGATTGTGAGCCCATGTCAAAATTCCGGAAAATTTCTTGAGTTTAAAAAAAACAGACAGTTTAAATTGAAAAAAATTTAAACAAGTTTTTTTTTCTTCCTTTTTCTCAATATTTCTTAGTTTACTTAATATATATTTAAAATTTTACACATACCTATGATGACCTGCAGAAGTAATTAAAATTTACAAATATGTCTTTCTTTCTTTAGTTTATGATTATAACAACTATTTACTGATAAAAAAGGAATATCAATCATGAATATAAGCTTATAAAGTATCTCTCTGACTCTCCCTTACAAACAAATAAAATAAACTGTGTTTTCAAGTTCCACCTTGGAAAATTTGATTTCCGGAAACTTCTGCGATCAATGATTTTTTGAAACATCTGGACCTTCGATCTCCGGAAACTTCCGGATCACTGTTAGAGAAAATTCTGGAAATCCGGATTTTTTCCGGAGCACAATCAGCCCTGGATATGAAAATTAATGTGGGAAAACTGGATCCTACCACGTGATTTTCCAGCCTATATAAATAATGTACCGACAACAATGGAAAACTGCGACACCATCATTAGATTTTTATGTATATTTGGAAACATTTAATTTATCCTATAAATAAGTTTAACGATAAAACTTTTGTGCTCAATTTTCGATTAAAAGTGATTTCAACACTGAATATGAATATGCCAAATTTAAATATCTAAAATTACTGTCTTTTAACTTTAAAAAATGCTAATTATAATTTTTTATTTAATAGTTTTCGAGGAAGTTACTTGTGTTTATAAATACGTCTTTCAAATATTTCTTCAAACAAAACTTGCAATATTTATCTAATTTGTTCTACAAATCCGATAATGGAAACGAAATTTCTAAATATTATGTAATATTAAAATTAATAATTTTATATGTAAACATTTTTAACATTTAGTATATTTCTGGATATTTTTAACATTTACTATTTCTATGAAGTTTGTAACATTTTCATCCATTTTAAAGTTTTGTACGTTTTAATAAAAATTTAATACATTTTAAATTAAAATTATATTTTTTCCTATATTTGTAGAATAATATTTCCCGTTATTTTGAATTTTCGATTTCCCTTAAATGTAATTTGAAATCGTTACTTTTTTGTATTGTACTTGTACTGTTACTTGTACTATTTACTTGCTACTTTTGCCTTAAGTATTTGTACTTTTACTCTTTACTTTTTGGAACAATTTTCTGGCAATTTATTGAATATTTTAAATAGCAATAAAAAATTATAGGAAATCGGTAACTTCCATTTGTTCACTGAAAAATTTCGTTTGCTTGACCGCTAAAAAATGTCTAACAACAGATTTCGCCAATTTTTGACAAAATAACCAAAAGTTTGAATTTAATATCGAATTTGGAAAATCGATATTCCGATAAATGTTTCGTTATCTCTCCTCAAAAGATATTATAATAATAAAATAAATTTTAGCTAGCTTCAAACTAAAGTTTAGTTCGCTTTCGACAACAAAAAAAGCCAACAGAAATTTAAAATTTGCCTCCAAATTTCAGCCCAAATTACGACATTGTTAACCCATATAAAATAATCGTTAGCCTATTTGTCAAAAAAGTTTTGAATTAAATAAATTTTAACTACATTTTGACTTAAAAAATTCATTTTTAATTCAAAAAAGTAACCCGTTGCATTAAATTATTAGTATACATATCAACCTGAGTAAAATTTTTATCTTGCCCACAAAATAATATAACATAACAAGTGCAAACTGCTAAAGATTTTGTTCTTAAAATGACAAATTTGAATTTTGCCATCAAATATTAAACCCAAAGGCAGTAAACCTTTTCTTCCACCACAAGTAGTGTTTTCGAAATGTTTGTCCATTTTAAGCGTTAGTTAGTAGGGTAGCTATAAGAGTTGGCCTTTTCTAAAAAAGTCCAAACGGATTTTATTTAGGAAGCAGTCTTTTATTTAAAAAAAATCAAAATAAAAATTATATTTTTAAAAACCACGTTTTTGTAGTGGAAAATAATAATTAAAAAACAAAAATTTGGAAAACGAAAAACGTAGGTAGCATGAAATACATAACAGTAACAGTATGTGCGCTCATGAGAATATGTGTATGTATATCTGTAATTGTATCTGAATGTGGATGTGCATGTGGTTGTGCAGGTGTATGAGTAAGAAAATGTGTATATGCATGTGTATATGTACTGTTATGTATTTCATGCGCCCCACGTTTTTCGTTTTTCAAATTTTTGTTTTTTAATTATTATTTTCCACTACAAAAACGTGGTTTTTAAAAATAATATTTTTATTTTGTTTTTTTTTTTTATGCACTCACTTCCAAAATCTCAATTTTTTTCACTCACTGTATACAAAACTTCACTACTGACATGTGACACTAATTTGAAATAATCGAATCGACAAAAAAAAACAATCACGAAAATATAAATTTTTCTTTAATTTTAATTTTATTTTATTTTGTATGTCTTTTTTCTCTTCATTTTCATGCATTGTCATCTAATTCTGAACTATGTGCCAAATTTGAAGTCTGTAGCTAGTCGGGAAGTTAGTTTAAAATCGTTTACAAAATTCCACCCGGACAGACATACACGAAGGCAAGTTGATATAAACGTGGTAAAATAAGCTAACTTTTATTGGATATTTTTAATTTTATTTTTATCTTATTTTTCTAAGCCAATGTGTGTTGAGCCGTGGTGGCTCAGGGCATACAGCGTTTGCCTTCCACTGAGGTGAACCGGGTTCAAATCCCGATTGCTGGTCGATATTAATTCCGCATCCTTCTTGCATCGACCTATGTGCTGACGTAAAATATCCTCAGAAATAGTAAGATCATGGGTTAGGGTCCCCTTACAGTCAGATTCACCGTGGAGGGTTTTCGTGATTCTCTTCTTCTAATAACTCAAATGCGGGTTAG